ATTTCATTATATCCAGTGCTATATTTCATAACAGATATAAAATACAAGCATTGAACACTTTACCCTGCTTTCCTGAGAAATTTCAGTAAACCTTGCAATTTCAAGACAAATTCAGCAAATGTTTCAGTATGAGGAAAATATTTCTTTTTATAAAACCCAGTGTTATATTTCGTAACAGATATAAAATATAGGCATTACACTTCACATCTGCTTTCCTGAAAAAATTCAATAAACTTTGTGATTTGAAGACACATTCAACAAATAATATTTCAATATGACACGAATATCCTTTTTTATGAGAACCTTGTCTTATATTTCATGATAGATATGATGTATAGGCATTAAAACACTTCGCATCTGCTTCCCTGAGAAAGTTCAATAAACCTTGGGCTTCCAACAAATAATATTTCAATATGCTAAAAATATTTCTCTTTATAAGACCCAGTGTTATATTTCATAACAGATATAAAATATAGGCATTAAAACACTTCACATCTGCTTTCCTGAAATAATTCTATAAACCTTGCGATTTGAAGACACATTCAACAAATAATATTTAAGTATGACATGAATATCCTTTTTTATAAGACCTTGTGTTATATTTCATAATAGATATGATATATAGGCATTAAAACACTTCGCATCTGCTTCCCTGAGAAAATTCAATAAACCTTGAGATTTAAAGACACATTCAACAAATAATATTTCAATATGCTACAAATATTTCTCTTTATAAGACCCAGTGTTATATTTCATAACAGATACAAAATATAGGCATTAAAACACTTCACATCTGCTTTCCTGGAAAAATTCTATAAACCTTGCGATTTGAAGACACATTCAACAAATAATTAAGTATGACACGAATATCTTTTTTTATAAGACCTTGTGTCATATTTCATAATAGATATGATATATAGGCATTAAAACACTTCGCATCTGCTTCCCTGAGAAAATTCAATAAACCTTGAGATTTAAAGACACATTCAACAAATAATATTTCAATATGCTACAAATATTTCTCTTTATAAGACCCAGTGTTATATTTCATAACAGATATAAAATATAGGCATTAAAACACTTCACATCTGCTTCCCTGAGAAAATTCAATAAACTTTGAGATTTAAAGACACATTCAACAAATAATATTTCGAAATGCTACAAATATTTCTCTTTATAATACCCAGTGTTATATTTCATAACAGATATGATATCTAGGCATTAAAACACTTCACATCTGCTTTTCCGACAGAATTCTATAAACCTTGCGATTTGAAGACATGTTCTACAAATCGTATTTCAGTATGCACACATATTCCTTCTTATAAGACCCAGAATTATATTTTGTAACTGATATTGACTCAGCAACTTTTCACCCGTTTTCTTGAAAAATGTTCGTAAATCTTGCAATTTGAAGACACATTCAACAAATCATATTTCGGCAAGACCTACATCACAATGATGGAAATGAAGAGCAGAAACAGCAGAAGAAACAAATATCTATGAATGAAATATAAATGACTAGTAAGCTACATGTATGCAGAAACATATTCAACAGATTCTCCGACGAAATACTGAGGAGGAAAAGGAGAGTGGCAAGCAAAACGTGTATCATACCAAAAATTAATGGTTAGCCCATCTTTATGTATCCATATAATTTGTTCAATAATATTGAATTATATATATCCAGAGTCATTTTCAAATTTATGGAAGTGAAACTTCTGGCTTCAAAAAACTTATGGAAGCACATAAGAGTAATGGATGAATTTTGCAGATCGAAATTTTGGAAAATGAAATTAGACATCCAAACAAGTATACTCCATCTTTAGTTATACTAACCAGTTGAACCAATGACAAATTATGTCTCAACAATACTTTCTTTTTTACTACAGAATCAGAATGCACACATCATAAGAATCAAGTCCGATACCTATTTCTCCAACACATCCCACAATTTAGTATATTAGACATGTATTGGCAGTAACAATATAGTTACCTCAGATGAATGTTATAGATATCTGATCCAATATTTGACCAATATCCTACTTTGTAGGATGGATTAACCTCAAACAAATTCGTGTACTTTTATTTCAGTCATTTACATGAGAAAAAACGTCGCACTTAGATCAAGATAACATATTTACATCAGTGTAAAAGAAATGTATTCCAAGGGTTTCATTCGTGTCCTTGATGTACCACCAACACCACCCAGAAGTGTATCTCCATGTTGATGTTTCATTCCGCATTACAGGACCACAATCATCAGTTCCTGTGTGGGAATTCTGAAAAAAAATATATAAATTAAATTCATTTCACTAAAAATAAGTCATAGACATTTTTGGACTTCAATACTTTAAAAGAAAAAGCGCAAATGAAACCTTTATAGAAGAAGATACTAAATTTGAATAGAAATGTTGCTGTTTTGAAATGGTGCAGCCAAAATATAATTTGTCCACACTTGTTGAAACTTTTTCTGAATATTTTAAAAAACAAGTATTTTATTTGTTGGGAGAGTTTTTGCTTTCTTTCCCAAAAATTAATCACTCCTAAAAATATAAACCCTTTCAATTTAAAGGATTTTATCTTTTTCAAATATTCCCTTCATTAAATTGACAAAAAACCTATGAAATAACAATTAGTTAAGAGAGAAAAATATTCTTTATTGTCTGAGGGACAAAAAGTCTTATTGACAAAGCATATATTATGTTAATAGTTTAAAAAATAGACATATAAAACACATATCAGTCAGAAGATAAACATAATTTAAAACGAGACATATACCAAAACATAAATTGGTCAGAAAATAATGAATGAAGATACATATACCCTCTTCCCCTGAATATACCCCTTTCTAGGGTTCAATTATCTAAAAACTCTCCAAACTCACTAAGTCCTTTATTATTTAATAAATTACCAGACTATGTAAGAGAGAGTCGAACCTTAACATGTTTTAAAAAAAAGTCTTACAACATTTTTTAATTGAAAGATGCTCTTATAAAGTCGATCAGGCACTATAATAAGTATTTGTAAATCCTTTATGATTTGTCTGTTATTTGTGTATTTGGGTGAATATATGTATATATGTCTGTAAATGTATATATGTGTTACACAATTATTCTATATTATAGATGAACAACTATAATATATGCAACTTTACTGTTTTGTTATATACAATTTAACTGAATGTTACCATGTTCTGTTAATTTTAGATGAACGACTACTCCTATACAATACTTGTATTGTCCTTCTGGAGAATAAAGAATTATTATTATTATTATTATTATTATTATTACATACATCATATCAAATTCTACATCAGACCAGGGTAATAACACTAACACAAAATGACTTTAGTATTGGAATCGAATCCGATTTTAAATGTTCAATTGAAAAAGTCAGCAAAGCACTAGTATGGTTTCTCACTGAATAAAGTTTTCAATGTGTTTTGTTGATCTTCTAATATTCCTGATCCCAGAGTCTTTGACAAGATTTAATGCTGGAAAAGGCTGTTGTTTTGTAAATGCATTACTTAATTTAAAAAAAACCATGAACAAAGGTGGTGGGAAGTTCTCATGGGAATGGGAATACGTCCTGTAAACTTAGTCCAAAAATCGAAAGAATTCGAAAACATTTATCAGTGTGCTCTGGAATAAAAAACAAAACGACTCCAAATGATAGTATTGGTCGTTGCAGTTCGGGTTCTGAGGTGGAATTCTAACAATTGCTCGTATCGTATCGGTGCGAGACGAGACGCGAATCGAAACGATAGTACATTGCTATTCTAACTCTCTCACGGAAGAATTATCGGTTATCGTCGGAATTTGTCTTAAGGAGGTCCTACATTCACGTGGAAATTTGTGTTTTGTACGTTTTATGCGTAAATATTTTTATGTTTTATGGTTTTATGTGAAGAACAAGTGAAGTACCCAATTGTTAGGAATAGTAAAATCAGCATTTTTTTTTGGTCATTGAGGGAATTTCATTATTTTTATAAAAATGTCATTCAAAGTAAGAGAGGCCCATTGGCAAATTATGTTAGAGGCAATGGAGAAGCACTCTTTCCTGGCTACAGGTAAATTTGTTGGTCCTCGAGGAAAGGATTTGTATAAAAAGCTTCATTATCTCGCGCCTGGGGTGGACTTGATGATGTGAAACCATTGAATGAATTAGAACTGAAAATATTGGATTTATTAGGGGAAACCTTTGTGGGATTAAATTTGTGGTGTACCTGTATCCCTTGAACCAGAGTCCTGCGAAAATAGTCTTGATGAACCATCAACATCAAAGATACCTTCAATATCAAAAACTATGCCCCAGAGAGATGATGCGGAACCACCACATAAGAGACACAAAATGGACTTCCACAATAAATACAGGGAAACCATTGAAGAGTTAAAAGATATAAAAAATACATTAAAATCTTCCTTGAGCGATATTGCTTTCAATTTGAAAGATGTTGCAAATGAATTGAGAACTTTAAACAATTCTTTGCCACAGGTAACAACAAATGCTATGATATAAATGAACGAATTTAACAAAAATAACAGCTTCTAGGTGGGCAAGTGATTTTTGAAGAAAGTACCTCCCCAGAACTGGAATAGAAAGCAGCCTTTCATTTATGTGGTACCCAATGAATGGTTTTGTTGTACTTCTTCATTATTTTGTGGAATATCAAAGATTGTTTTTATTTTATTGTTATGGAAAGCTGTTCATTTTTAGTTCGAATGTATCTGATTTTGTACTGGAGTATATCATTAATTATGTTTGAATCTTCTATTTACTTCACAAATAGATAGTTTAGTCCTCATTCAAATTATTGAACAGGTTGATGAAAAAACTTTAAAAAAAGACAAAATTACATAGACTTTGCGACATTCAACATATGCACTGTATCATATACTTGTTTTTTTTTAAATATTTGTATTTTCGAAAAAGAAATCAATTTTATGACAATATAAATGTTCCAATCAAAACATATTTGGTATAGGTTTACAAAAAAATTATTGGTAATACTGCTGGACAATTCTATCTCTAACCCTCATTCCTTCTACAGCAAATTGTCCTTGGTTATTGAGTGGTTCTGCAATCAGGACGTCACTTTTATCATTGTCTGGATCACCTACGTTTTCATCGATGGGTATGTTTCCATCCACACACATATTGTGTAAAACAGCACATGCCTTCAACAAACTGGCTACAAAATCAGGATTGTATCTCAAAGTACGCTCCTTCAAAAGGCAGTGAAATCTCATTTTTAGGATGCCAAAACATCTTTCGATGCAATTCCTTGCTCTAATGTGGGCATGATTAAACCTAGATTCGGGACTATTTTCAAGGGGGTTTTGAAAAGATGTCATTAGAAATGGCTGAAGTGGGTAGCCAGAATCTTCAATTAACCAAGCTTGTTCCCCAGATTCGTAAATTTCTTGCATATAATTCTTTATCAATGAGTGGTTCCATATAAAAGAGTCACGAGTGGATCCACCATAGTTGGCAGAAATATTATTTATTTTCATACGGTGATCACAAATAACTTGGCAAGGGAGTAACCCTTTCTATTAATGAAATTATGTTCATCGCCGGGTGATTTTAAGATGTCAACATGGGTACAATCAATAGCCCCTATGACTACCGGAAAATGCCATTTCTCCATGAAAGCCATTTTCAATACAGTCCTTTCCTGAATATTCTAAGGGAATACTCTAAATTCTGCACCCATCACTTCAACTATTCAAATTAATACTTCATGTATTGCTCGATGAACTGCAGTTTGGCTCAAACTGCAAAAAGTTTCCTCACCAACACACCTCTGGTAAGTCCCTGTGACATAGAAACGGAGAGCGCAAAATATTCCACTTTCTATTGTGATATCTCCTCTTATGCGAGGTGATCTCAAATGGGGGGTTAATACGGCTATCAATCGTCTTGTCAAATGGATTGTATCTATTCCTTAATTGGAATCTGTCTTCTCAATCGCCTTATAGGTGGATTATTCTACATAATTCCTTGGTGAACTATGGGCAACATAATTGTTGTTCATTTTTTTTAATAAACAAATCACAAAACATCCACAAATACTTTAATCTATTTCGTTTCCAGGTTAGGATTTTGAAATGTTGAAAAGGGAAACATGTACTATTGAAAAGAGAAACATATATTGAAATTAGTGTTGCCCAAATTCAGTCTTGGTCTTGCAGTCTTGGTCTTGTTCTTGCGTTTTTGCAAGACCAAGACCAAGAACAAGACCGCGTATTTTTAGCAAGACCAAGACCAAGACTGACCGTGCAAGACTTGAGCAAGAACAAGACATAGCCTGCAAGACTCTTGCGTCTTGCAGCTAGGACTTAGCGCTATTTCACTGAGTAGTTAGGTGTAACAGTTCGGTGTATNGAGAGCTCTCGAATACTTCTGTGAAAGTTGTCAAGAAGGTTTGAGGATCATTTCTATACTTCAAAAACAAATCAAAAATTAAAAAAGTTTTGATGACTTGCCATAAGGCAGCAGAATATTCCGCATAGCAATATTAGAAAAAAAATGATATAACAAACTTCGCAGCACTCTTCTGTGAATATGAAGAAAGAAAAGTTAGGGCAAAAAAATATAATGGTGTGCAACCTACCAGAGTATTGCTGATGGTCCTCAGAATAAGATGGACGAAGAGGCAACTGAGGTTTACCAACTCTGATCTGATAGTCAAATCAATGAAAGTAGGAAAACTTGGTGAGAGACCAAGATAATTAAAAGATTTTTTTTTAAGCAGATTCGTCTGTAAGGTTGTTGAGAAATAAGAAAAAATCAACAAGCCACATGTTAAAATAGAAAATGATCAGACGTGAATTATTAAAAAAATCAAGAGAAGAATTAGAATCCTGCAAAAGTAGAAGAGAAATTAACCTAACCATAAAATACATCAACAATGTTCCTACCATAACTCAAACAAATAAATAAAAATGTCAATTTTCTGATGGAGAATTGGAATTCAAACAATACAATATATTCAGATGTGACAGAGAATCTACCGGGAGCGACAAACGTGGAGGAGGTGTACTGAGTGTTAGTCATTTCTAGAATCAAAGCTAACTCAATAACTGTGCATAACAATGTTGAACATATTTTTGTGATAACCGAATACGGCAACTCCTCAATTATTTTTGGCTGTGCTTACATTCCACCATCATCCCCCAAGACTTGTGAAACTGTAGAAGATATTCATAATGAGTACCCAAACAGCTTGCTCATTCTAGCTGAGGACTATGCCTGATGTCAAATGAGATAATGATAATATGAGGCTAAATGTCACTTGTAACCTGAATTCACCCGCTTTGATATTGAATTGTTGTTGTTAGTTGAATCTATATCAACTTAGTAGCATTTCTAATAGTAAAAATACCTTCTTAGATTTAGTTTTCTTCAACAGACATGACATATCAATTCAACTTTCAATGGACCCACTACTACAGGCTAGCACTCATCACTCTTCTCTTTCATTTAGCATTATAACACACAGACTTCTAGCTATACACTCGATTACAATTAATACTTTTAATGATTTGAAAAACGTCTACCATGGCTCCATAAATGCATACATATCTTGTGTGGACTTGCATATGCTCAATTACCACAATGATGTCAATCAAGAAGTTTCTTATATCTACGAAGTCTTGTGTAATGCTTTAAAACTTTATGTACCTTTAAAAAAATGTAATTGATCAAATTTTACTTCTTGGTTCACTCCTCAGTTATAGCAGTTGGTCAGAGAAAAAAAAAGTATCGTAAACTCTTCTAACAATTTGGCTTGGATGAGGATTATATAAATGTTTCTAACCTGAGAGCTTACTGTGAATCGATTAGCCAAAATGTTACAAAAGTCGTATTGAAGTCATAGAGAGAATATGTAACAATCCTAGGTATTTCTGATCACATGTCAACAAAATAAAAAATTCACACAAAATTTCAGAAGAAATGCACTACAATGATTGGTCAGTTCCGATGGTAATGATGTATCTCACCCTTCGATGCCTGATACCAAACAGTTGGACTATAGTAGGGATAAACTACAAGTCTCACAGGTAATTGTCATCTGAGTCATTATATGCAAAGACTAGGACTGTCAGAAGACACTAAAGTGATTATCCGCAACCCTTCAACAGCAAATAACACAGCAGTCAAAGTAGTTCTTGCCTTACCGAAGGACCCACAAATGAATGGGAGCATCCAACGGCAGTTCAAGGAAAAACTCCCAGAACTGGCAGACCTGTTCGATGACTAAAGCGTTGTGCAGCAGACAAACAGAATCAAAGGAATCAACGTCCAAATGACAAAAAAGACAATTAAAATAAACCACGTCGGCACGGAGCCAGACATTTGGAGCAAACTGAAAGAGACTGCAACGGACCGAAAGGTGGATATGCACCACGTGGAAAGCATATCGGTGCTCGACCTGCAGAAGATGACAGAGGCCATCTTTCATAAATCCCTAACAGGGAGGGAGCCAAAACAAATGGCCAAAACAGTTCTTTCGGGGGATACCTGAAGGTAGGACTAGCCAGGTGCAAGCTAAAGAGGCGGCTGAAAGTAAACAGATGTGCGAAAAGCTGGTCTTACGAACATAACAGGGAATGCGAAGAACCCGACAGAACGAAACTGTTATAAATGCGGCCAGAGAGAACATAGTTCCCACGAAAGCGTGAATAAATATTGCACGATAAGTGAGGAGAAAGGCCACAGACTGGGAACGACTAGGTGCCCCGCTTTCAAATACGCCATGAAAAGGGGCCAGACACAAACAGAAGGCAAAGAGACCAACCAAAGAAGTGAGACATGTGAATGGGATCAGAAAGAGAGACCAACCAAGGATCCACCACAAAACGAGATGGAAGAGACTACAAATAATACAATGAAAAAGTCGACAAAGCCTACCAGCATTCTCCGCGATCTCATAGCATAACATAAAATAAAGTTTCAAAGGAAAGAAACGTGAGTTGGTATGGTTTCCTACAAAGCACATAGACGCGAAGACCTTCCATGACACAATTCCTAAGTTGCACACTGGCATAAATGACCTTGAGAGCCTCGAAAGTGTTGATGTGCAATTCCTGTTGTTATTTTTACTACATTAGTGTTCCGACACTGATATTTATCTCAACTGACGTATGACAGTTAATGAAAGAGAGGAAGTAGTGTTTACTTTTTGATATAACAAAGAAGCGCAAGAATTATCTATTATTTTTACATAACAAAAGTTAGTTTAGTAGTATCTTTTTATTCATCTGAGTTTCTGCTGCAAATCCTCAGCAAGAACAATCAAAAGCGCCCTCTCGTAGGCGCTTTTGTCTCTCAACAAGGAAGAATGGAATCATCAGACCGCAACCAGTATGGTAGAATGACCAAATAGTCACTCAATGGAAAAAATCTCAGTAGGATAGTAGAAGACTATTAAGGGCACAGAGTCGTTAGGCCTTCACCTTATTTTGTGAACAGACCTCGTATAGTAACTTCGTGTAACTAGGAAAATTCAAAAAACAATAGTAAATGGTATATTCAAAACTGTNTTCACCTTTCATTCTGAAAATAAAACACACTGTCTATGTGTAAAATCATTACTGATAATTTATGAAGGTTGAGTGGAAGAACAGTTTATTTTAGAGACGTGTCTCTACAAAAAGTAAACTCTGCCTTTTAGTTTCATTTATATTTAGATCAAAATATTAAAATAGTACCTAACAAGTGGAAATGATACAGACATTACTGTTATTATTATATCTTTGCATAAGTAATACAAAAACAAGTGTAAATACTATCACTGATCACCCGATAAGGTAGACAGTATTTAGAGATGGATGGTCAAAATTTCAAGTGGGCTATTTATTTTTGATCCTACTGAGCTCTTTCAGTATCATGTATTACAAAGATTGCCATTTGCGTTTTTATAAATGACTATTAGATGGCTCTAGTGATATGTGACATTATGTGACATATTTGAACCCATTCCAGCTACTCAACTTGAAGAAAAAACTTATCGATTTGGTTCAATAAATAACAACAATCATTATTTCTGTAATTCTCCACATTCAATACCCTGCATCTCAAAATCTGGTCATAGTATCNACTTATCAATTTGGTTCAATAAATAACAACAATCATTATTTCTGTAATTCTCCACATTCAATACCCTGCATCTCAAAATCTGGTCATAGTATCGGATGTAGAATTAATACCTCTCAAGATGTTATAAAAATCGTTATATAGTGAGAAAATAGGTATATCATAATTCATTATACTTTTTTAGAAATATAATGTAGTTCAAATCTATCACTGTAAATATTTAAAAATTGTACACTGGGGAAGAACTTCGATCAATGGCCCTTTGGTATTCACCAATAAATAACAATTATTATTTACATATAGTTAGATTCAATAAATACAGGGTTTT